CGCTCCCTCCGGACTGACTGCAGGGCAGCCGGGCTGGAGCGAAGAAAAGCAGCTGCCTGGCCAGCTGGCCATGATGCTCAGCCAGGGTGCCACCAAGCTCCACGTGGGCAGGCGCAGAGGGGAAGCCGCCCAATCAGCTGGAGCGTGGTTCAGCCTCCTCTGGGCTGAACGCCACAGCCAGCAGGCCAGGCAGCTTCTCCTCTGCGCCAGCCCACGTGGAGTGTGGTGCACCCTGGCTGAGCGCCATGGCCAGCGGGCTGGGCAGCTGCTTCTCTTCCCTCCAGCCCTGCGCTCAGCCCAGGGAGGCTGCGCCTAACTCCAGCTGTAAAAGCCATAGTCAGATAGCTGGGGTGTTTCAGCCCTCCCGACCTCCCAGCTCCCACCATTCCTCGCAGCTACTCACCTGTGTTGTTGCTCAGTGAGTAGCTGCTCCTCAAATGAGGAAATCTAATGTAAATGTACTGCGCAGGCGCGCAGTTCAGAGAGGGCTCAAGAGCTACTCTTAGAGCCCCTGAGATCTACCGGTAGCTCACGAGCTACTGGTTGGTGACCACAGCTCTAGAGTGAAGACTGAAGCAAAGAATTCATTTAACTTACCAGTTACCAACTCCATTATTAATCAATCTATACAAGTGCTGGTTTTAGAAAGGGCCGGAGCCTTTAGACCAGTGGTTTCCAACCTTTTTACACCCAAGATCACTTTTAAAATGTCATGGCAATCCAGGATCTACCCTATCCCTTGCCCAAGACCCCTTCCCTTTCTTGAGGCCCCACCTCTCCAAACCTTTCCACAGACTACCCGTTGCTAATGGAAACTCACCGTTAATTATATAATTACACCCGAGTCATTTTGCTACGGCTGCAGCTGGGGAGAATGTTTAATAATTTAAATTAAACCAGATTAAGCGTTTTAACTTTCTCATGTTAGTTTATCAAACTTCATTTTAAATAAAGTAAAACATTATGTCCAACAGAAAAGGTTTCAATGTTTTCGTTATTTATGGCAGAGGTGGGCAACCTTTTTGGGTCGGGGGCCACTGATCCACAGGAAAAAAAAAAATCAGTTGGGGACCACAGAAGTGAGAAACAAAAAAAACTCCTCCCAAAACCCCCAACCCTCGCTGATGTGGCCCCCAGCTGAGACACCTCACTCTTCTCGCACTCCAGCCCCCACAGGGTGAGGGGGAGGACTGAGATTCAGGGCTTCCCATAGGCCAGATTTACTTTTCTGGGGTTCCAGAGTTGTTAGATTTTGTGGACCCCCTTCGGATCTGGGATGAGAACAAAAATTAGGGGCTCAATGTGCAAGACAACACTGCCATCGAGTGGGATAGGGATGCAGGATTTGGGTGGGAGGTGGGCTGCAGGATGGGGTGATGAGGGCAGGGTCCGGAAAGGAGTTTGGTGGTAGAAGAGGGTGTGGGTACAAGATGGAGTTTGGGAGCAGAAGGGGTTGGGGGCAATAACACAGAAAAGGTGAAAGGGTGAGAATGCAGCCAAATAGCTATCTGGGAAGGGAGGCAAAGAAGTGGGGAGTAAAGGGAAATGCAGCTTCTACAAACTGTATCCCCCCCCCCATCTACCCTCTGTTCCAGCCTTACTTCTCTCAGCCCCATGATTCCCCCCAGCCTGATCCCCTGCATCACCCCATACCCCTCAATGCAACCCCTGCCCCCTCCCATCCAGCCTTCACATCCCTGTGCCCCTAGCGCACTCACTAGCAGGGCGGCAGCGCTGGGACTTGCAGACTCCTAAAAGCAGCGCTGAGGCACGGAGATGGGGGTGCAAAGTCACTTCCCTGCCTGGCCCAGCCCTTTGCCTGCAGGCAACAGCTCCAGGGCTGGGGCAGGCAGAGTCCAGGGCTGGCTCTAGCCCAGCCTGGTGCAGCAGGGTGCTGGAGAAGGGGCTCCCTGACCCTGCGCACAGCCCACAGGGAACAGTGCAGCATAGCCTGGTCCCCAGCGCACCACATGTGGCGGCCACCAAGCCCTGGCTCTGTGGAGCAGGCCCAGCTCCACCCCCTCCAGGGGCAGAAGACAAAAGCCAAGGATAAACAGGTGTGCGCACACAAACACCTCTTCTCCCCCCCAGCATCCCAGCCAACAAGTTAACAATGAGGGACAGTCTCCTCTCTTTGATGTAGCCCAGCTGGAGTGCAGTGCAGCCTCGGCGGGCTGAACCTGTGGCTGGCTGCCCAGGCAGCTGCCCTTCTTTTCTCCAGTCCAGCTGGTGGCATGACTACTGGCCAGATGGCTGCCTCTTTGATCCAGCCCAACTGGAGTGTGGTGTAACCTCAGTGGGTTGAACCCGTGGCTAGCTGGCTGGGTGGCTGCCCCTCTTTGACCCAGCCCAGCTGGCTGTGGCGTTCAGCCCACCGAGGTTTCACCACGCTCCAGCTGGGCTGGATCAAAGAGAGGCAGGGGCCTGGCCAGCTAGGGGTGCCGCAAATCCACCAGTTTTAGACAGTCATTTTGCAAAGGGATCAAACTAAAAAGCTTTACCTGTTCGTAACAGTACTTCTGGTGCAATATAGTTAGGCGTGCCAACAAGTGAATGTGCCAGACAGCGTTGATGCTGACGTGCTGCTCTACGCTCAAGTGGCTTAAGCCTGTCTCCACATCTGCAGTTTGCTGGATCACCCCATTCATTACTGAAATCCATGCTGTCTTGACGTGAATGGTCACCTATAATATAAAAATGAAGGTACTAATACTATAGTTTTTAAACTTGGTTCTTAACTAACTGTATTTTCTCTCCAAATTCTTCAACATTCCTATTATGAAGAATGCTTTCCATTCTGATGAATTCAAGTACTTTAAAATTAAAATTATTTAAAAAATATACTTTAGAGTATTAAGCTTGTATGCTCCCCCCCGCTTATGATGTAAAAGAATGTCTGAAAGTTGAGTTCTCTCTTTTGTCTTAAAAATTGATTTTTTGCCTAAATGTAAATTCTGATCTTCCTTAGTTTTGCTGCAAAATTTGTTGGAGATATAGGATATATACTGTTATTTCTGTCATCTGAAGTAAAGAAAGGCCATCTCCAAAATATCACTGAAATTAAATAGTTTAAAAAATAAAACGTTTGAAACAGTCATTAAAAAAATCTTACCTATCACAAATGTTCAACTTTCACATACTACCCTTCTTTTATAATGTCACCCTGCTTGCTACTTCTCCAATAACCATAAAAATCACCACCAACACTTTAAAGAGGCACTGAATTCCTAGTGTAAAAATAAGCCAGAAAAAAAGGATTTTGAAAAATCTATTGAAGAAAAAAAAAAAAAAAAAGGCACAAGCCCAATTTTCATTTGCAGGTTATCTATAGGAAAAATACTGTAAAATAAAGAAAAGATTAAGATACTGCCACTTGCAGAACAAAATGCAAAATGATCTTTGCTATAAACTTCCTACAACTATCATGATGGCATTAAAAATGCTTAATTTCTTTTAAAAAGCTTAATTAGTGAATTTCCATGTAAGTGCAAAAAAGGTATCAAGATTGTAGATCTTGGGTAAAATTGTCAAAACTTGACACTTAGATTCCTCCATACCATTTTCAAAAGTGATTTAATCCTGGTCAACACAGTTTTTGTACTGATATAACTATTTCAATAAGATGTGATTTTTTTTACTACTTCAAAAACGCATGCTGTTATACTGTTTTAGTTTATTCCCTTTCCCTTACGGTATTAAATTCTACCTCTGTTCATGTCATGTTCATCTTTTTACTCACGCTTAGAATTAGCATGAAATACTACATCAGTTCAGATAACAAAAACAGCTTACCACTTTGATAGTATTTCGAATCATGAGTCCATCGAAAACCTGTACAAAGTCCGAAGTCAGTCAATTTAATATGGCCATCGCGATCAATCAAAATGTTATCAGGTTTAATGTCTCTGTGAATGAAACCCATCTTGTGAACGCTTTCAACTGCGCAGGTCAGCTCTGCTATATAGAATCGTGCCAGATTTTCTGGGAAGACACCCATTCTAATTAACAGGCTCATCATATCACCTCCTGGAATATAATCCATTACAAAGTACAAATTGTCCTTATCTTGGAATGAATAATACAGGCGAACAACCCACTCATTGTCAGCCTCTGCAAGGATATCCCGCTCAGCTTTAACATGGGCAACTTGGTTCCGAAGCAGCACATCTTTCTTCCGCAGGGTTTTTGTTGCATATAAAGCATTAGTGTCCACTTTCCTTGCTAAGCAAACCTCTCCAAATGCCCCAATCCCAAGAGTCTTAATTTTTATAAACATTGATTTGTCCATTTTAGCCCTTTTGAGACGAATGTAGTTAGACTCCTTCTGGCACAGCATTTTTCTCATTTGATCCTGGGCATCTTGGGACAATCCAACCTATGAAAGAAAATTAAATTTCACAATTGAAAAAAAAAAAAACCCCACCTTCTCTCTTTGTGGTTATTAGCATACATTTAGAAGGTTTGGGCAAAGTAAAGTAAAAACTTCAATGTAAAAATGAGAATAAAACAATTTTTTTGCCTAACATACATTAGGTCTCTATAAAAACACTTAAGGTTAAAACAAAACCAAAAAGCCCCCAGCCCACAAAATGTGCAACTAAGGGATGGTTATAACAACAATACACACAAGGTGCCATGCACCACCATGCTCTTGATTACGGGAGCCATTTTTTGGGGAGGGAATAGGATGGAAGAAAAAAAAAACAAGCTGATGGTGCCCTCTGTAGGAAAAAAACCCAGGATAATAGGGTAGGAGAGAAGTCATTGGTAACACACTATCCCTCACAGAGCTGTTCCCTCATGTGAATACTCCCCTTATATATTAATAAGTATACATGTTTGTTCATGACTTTGCATACTCAACTTTTAATTGATTCCTTGCATTAATGGAGTCATTACTTGCTTGATTCCTGATGCAATTAAACTGAACATATGAGGGATAGGGATGTTAACAAATGTGCATGTGTGTAAACATGTAACCCCGTGATGTCCAACCAGTTCCAAGACAATAGCCAGCATAGTGACTACAGATATAGCTAACTAGCCAGACTCAACCTGCTGAATAACCACACTGTTCAAAACAACTAGTCACACTCAACCAGCCAAATAGCCACGTGACCAGTGACTAGCATGTTGGACACCATGGGTGTAACTGCTGGATTTTTTTAGCTGTTATATGCTTAAATGTAGGGGGGGGGGAGGGAGGGCGGCAGCTTTTGAGCCAGTTCCCCGCAAGCACTGGCTCCCACTTGTCGCACACCATGCACTGCTGCCTCTATGCGAGGCAGCAGGTGCGGGAGGGCAGCTTAAAAGCTGGCCCCCCATGGGAACTGACTCTCACCCCTTCTTTGCTCAAAGGAGAGGGTGTGCGTGTAAACATTAGGATTAACCAACGAGCCCAGGCTTTTCAGTTAATTGTGTAAATGACTACATGCCAACACTCTAATTAGGGATGTGAATGTTTAACTGGTGGGGGCTGGGAGAAGCCTTCAGCCCAGCAGCAGGTGGGGGAGGCAAGTTGCTCCAGTCAGGATGGAGCAGGCCCCTGCCTCCCACCCCCTTTAACCAGTTAAGCAACTAAATGGAGTTTTACATCTGCTCTGTAGATTTTCCAATTATCCACGGTTTGATCAAAACTATTTCCATTTGATTCTCTTAATTAGATGTGTCCTTCCAAGGTTTCTTCCCTATTTTGCTTCTTATGAAACAAAGTCACAAAGAAAGGTGCCTTTATGTTTCACCAGTGTTTTTACACTAAAAATCCAATTCTATCATGGAAGAACTAACAAAACTATCAAGTAATAGAAGACAAGAGTAAAAATTGAGCAACCGAGAGAAGATTTTTCAGGCAGGATGTTTAATACTTGTTTGTGTTAATTATTGTATAATGCAAATGACTAATATTTCAATAAAGGGTCATTTGGTTGAAGATTCTACACCATCTTTTCAAGTATTATACTTCACAATTACACTTCCTAATAAACATGCTCTGGAACCCTAAATAGTTCCCACGTAAAGATATAAAACGCCAAATTTAAACACTCCTGATATTTCTCAGACAAAAACAACTTTTCAAAACATTCAGGTCACCTTTAGATTCAGAATAGCAGAATAGGACATAAGCCAATACACTTTTTCAGGTCGTATTTGTTTACTTAATTCATTGTTCTACTGCCTTTTCTTGATTCCTAACTCAAGTAAGTAGTGTGCCCTGGTGGGTGAATCACGGACAGGGGTTAGGGAAACTTGGGTTTCTGTTCTGGGCTCTGACACTGGCCTGCTGCCCAGTCACTTTCTCTGTCTCTGCCTCAGCCTCATCATCTGTAAAATGGGAGTGAATGCTGATAAAAAGCACTAAACAAGGATTATTAGTCCTTGATCTCTCCATCTTCTGTCCTGACTTCTTTTCAAGATCTCTCTTTTCTTTTGATGATTTCATCTGAAATACTGTGACTTCAATAATATTTGTAGAAATGACTTGCAATTCAATTCTGCATTTTAGTTTCTCTCTGGCGTTTTCATCTGTTTAAACTGAATTTATCTTATCTCCCAATCTTTTTTGGACACCCTCCATAACGTTACCAGTGAAAGCAGGACCAGCATTCACGTCCATCACAAAAGGTCTTCCACTCCTCCAATTTCCACCACCCATGCATTAAGGTTAGGGTTGCCAGATGGTTTCAACAAAAAGACCAGACACACTTGACATTACATCACAATCTACATTACATCTTATTTAGAAAATACCGGACATTTATATTTTCTCATTTATATTTTCTCAATTTGTTTCCCGAACAGAAAGCTCAAATACTGGACTGTCTGGTTCAAAACCAAACACCTGGCAACCCTAATTAAGGTGGTGCCCAAATCTTGCTATTTCTACCTCCATAACATCTTACAATGTTAAAGTCTATATTGTAGTAGCATCCAGAAACTGCAATCTGTATTAGGGAACCACTATTTTAAGCATTGTATGAACATACTGTAAGAGACAAATGCTATTCTGACTATCTTCCAGTCAAATATGAGTCAAGATAGGTAAACAAAAAAAGAAGAAATGAAGGAGAACAAGAATAGACATTCAATCCCATGATTATAAAGGTATCTATTATACAATTTAATGGTACCTGAATGCGTTTTTGTTTAAAAAAAAAAATCAACTATCCAATTGGCATACAACCAGCCCACAGAGGATTTCTTACAGGCACCACAGTGGAACAGGGTCTCAGAGATTTGAAAATGTTGTTGTATAGACAGACAAAGTCACGACAACAACAACAAAATCTGGTGTAGTCCTTATCAACCTCCAGTCTTAACTATTGCAGCCTCCTATACGGTGGCCCCTGAACACCCACAATGCTTTCCTTTGTTACATCAAAACACTGCCCCTCAGTCAGACCATTCCATCCCTTCTAATGTCGGTATATTAACTCTCCCTCGTCCATGACATCAAGTGCAAGTGTTTTGTCCTCATCCTCAAGAACCTCCAAGCCTCTACTCCCTACTAGCCTTATCTCTATGTTGCTTCTCAACCCCTTTCCTCCATCAAAAATCTCAGCATCAATATCTTCTTTCCATCTCTCAAAAAAATATCTACATACTTTCCTCCCTGCTACCCACACTGAACCTCAAACACCCTTCCTGAAGTGACTTGAAAAGTCCCTTCCTTATTAATATTGCTCTTTAGGACCCACTTCTATGATGGCTACAATAAATTAACTTAGAAACCTATTAATTTTAAATGAAACAGACACACAAAGAGATACACATTCTCTTTATTCTTGCCATGCACTAACCCTTGCTGAATAGTTATGTGAACTCACTGACACCACCTCTATTTTTCTTCCTTATGATCTTGTTACTCCCTAAATCATGACTGAAGGGTATGCATGTGTTCATTTTGAATAAAATGTGATTTGGAAAGTAGGTATGCATAAACAAGCATGCTGTGGCTCACCACCCTAGCAACAGCCTAGAAAAGGCCAAGGGGAAGGGGGTGAACTCAACATGTGGAGTGGAGAAGTACAAGCATGTGACAAACGAAGCCATATATAGAAAGGCTGAATCTGATTGGTTTAGAAGTTTGTGTTATGTAACCTGTAACTGCCATGTGGTATAAAACAGCAAGGGGAGGGGCTCCTTGCTCGAGGGGTCCGGCTGATTTTAGTACCAGGAGCTCTCCCTTTGTGCACATTGAATAAAGTCTCGTTGAATTGAATTGAAGACCCTTGATTCTGCTCAGCACCTGACTCTGTCCCAACAATGACTAATTTTGTTTTCACACTCTTCAGGGCAGGAATTGTATGAGTCTTTTGGGTTCACTGTACCATTTCTAGTACCATTAGATATAATAAAGATAAAAGCAAGTGCATACCTCCAAAATGTATTACTTAGTCCACCTGCGAGACAGCTACTCCATGCCCAGTAAGCACTTTCCTTTAGACTAGGTATATGGAATCTTTTTTTGGTTAGGGGCCACTGATGCAAAGAAAAATAATTCAGGAGCCACACACCAGTGAGAAGCCAAACCCACCCCCCCGACTAGCATGGCCCCGAAAAACAAACAAAAGACACAGACACACTTGGGGCATCAGGGCTCCCTTGTGTTCCAACCCCATGGGGCCAGGATCTGGCCTCTTTCTTCCCTTGATCTGGCCTATGGCAAGGCTCTGGGCTTCCCTTCCTTCTCACAGTGGGCCAAGCCAGTACTAGTGCTCCAGTCTCATGGGGGGTGCCGAGGCAAAGAGTGTCAGTGGGGCTGGAGCACTAGTTTGCCTCACTGCAGGGGAGGGGAGAGTCCTGAGCCTCATTAGACCAGATCCAGGGAAGCCAGGGGAGGGCCAGATCCAGCCTGCAGGCTATAGATTCCCCATCCTTGCTTTAGACAGCTATCTTCCCACCAGGAAATATGCACCTGCTGAAACATGCTAGTGACCCTTTCCTCTCAATTTTCTGTAGAAGGAGAGAAAGGAGGAAATCCACTCCTGGTTTAGTCTTCTTAACTCTTCTGCAAATAAAGATGAAAAAGTACTAGGGGAGATAAATGGCCATCAAGTTCACGTCTTCTCTTCCCATTCAAAATGAAAGGTGAGTTGACCTACTCCTGTCAGATTTTTCTCCCATTGTGTACTAAAGGGAGCAGCTTCTCTCTCCATGACACCCCATTTTTCATCATCCAACCCCAAATAAAGACCCCCCCCGGTTCTGAATTAAACACATTTTATGTGAATTGAGCACAGTTACAATAAAATATATTTAGCGTAAATAACAAAATATTTTTTTATTTTAAATTGATTATATTAAGCATGCAGGGGAAAAAAAGTTACCACCAAGAGGATTCAAGTGTTAACATAAGTAACTGTGCTTACACCATGGCAACGCACACACAATCAAATGCTTCAAATAAGAAATGAAAGTGAGGTTTCCAAATCAAAGTTAGTTATGACCTTGCACTTAAGTACCCAAATGTACTTTAAAAAAATACATCAACTTCATGCTTTAGTTTTGATGCAGGTACACATGCAGAGTCCTTTGGAAAAGGATCATGCTAGTCTTAATAAAACTGTTGCTCCAAACTCTTACTTGCCCACACAGTAATGGAGGCTATAGAAGTCAGCAAAGCTTCCAACACCTTAAGAGTTTAAACCAGCTGTTATTGAAAGTGAAAAGGAAAAAAAAAAAAAAAAAGACTAAGAATAAACATCTAGACACTTCCAGGAATAAATCTTATTTGCTAACATGCAACTATGTTGTGATTAAGTAGACACTTACATAACACAGTACAGTATAAAGCAAGATTTTTATAAGAGCAGGAGAATGTGGAATTAGAAATGACAGTTCAGTCAAGCAAAAAAAAAATCAGTTAAAAGGTATCAAAAAGGTATCAACTTAAAAAAAATGACTTGTCTAAAATTGTTACCTACTATTATTCCCAGAAAAACTAAGATTACAATAAAACCTAAAATTATTATAAAATTCATAGCTAAAATTATCTATATTTTCTTGTCTTAATTTCAGTATTTTTCAGTGTGTTCTATAAAATCAATTTCACCTTTTCCCTGTTTTAGCATAAAACATGACTGAAAACAAGTTGGCAAGGGTCATCAGGTGTAACCTCTAAAGCCAGTTTTTACACTAAAAGGGGTTTTTTTTAACCCTCAAATGATAGAATGTGTACTCTTGTGCCAGTGCTTGATGAAGGAGTAAAAGTTAAACATCTGTAGTACAGCACCCTCAGGACCTGACCAGTACCAAACCAGAGAATTTGCCAAACCGCAAGAGGTTAGTATTGTCTAGCAGCATTACCAACACTTCCATTGTTTACTGGGCTCTTAGAAGACATTTTGGGTAAATTAGAGCTAAACAAAAGCACAGAGCACTGAAAGCCAGGTCTGGTGGTTGTAAACAAACTTTACAGGGCCATAGGAAACTTGGCAACACCCATGATAAGTGGACAACCAGCTAACTAAAATCATGCCGGACCATGGATGTTGCCAGATCACAATGACAGACTATAGAGGTTCAACCTGTTTATGCTTTACAAAACTGTGTCATTTTTGTTGCTTGCTGCAGTGTTTTAAAGCAAAGATTAAACTGAGTTTTAAATGACCTAGTCAAGATTCAGTTAATATAATATGGTGGCCCAACCTGCATTCCCTTGTATATCTAGAACTCGCATTGATACGAATGGGAATTTTGCAGAATATGGAAGGACATGGAATAGAGAATCAAATCCTGAGTATATTTAGCAAAAGCAGAGTAGAATATTTAGAAGTATAATTCATTCTCTACTTTCAAATTCCTTACTTGGGAAGAAATAACAGCTCAGCGATCAGATGCATATTGCAGAAGAAGAGGTCTTTTAAACATTTTTTAATGTTGAATAATACGAAGTATACTGTAGAATGAAATATCTTATAGAAAATAACTTCACATAATGGAGTCAAACTCATGAAAGTAAAGGGTGTAATCATTCTTTGGGACTTTAGCCAGCCCTATCACCATTTCCTCGTAAAGCACATTTACAAAAATCTTTAATATTAACTGTGACAGTTTAACAACTAGTTTTCCCCAAATCAGCATTAAGACAATGATCAAAACCAAGAAGCCATGCACCAAGCCCAATGCAAGCTTCAATAAATTGACTTCTGTGTTTTTATAAATTACCCAGAACATTAGCACTTAGAATAGAAGAATAATATTTTTGTTTAGATTAATTTAAAAATGTACTTTCTAAAGAGAGAATGGGATTACCTAAACAAATACAGAAAGGCTGGCTGCTTCTTTTGGGCAAACTAAAAATGAATTTCAATACCAAAAAATATTACAACTGCACAAAAAACTGAAGAATAATTAAAAACACTGTCTTTATATACAGTTTTTAAAAATGTATATAAAAATTAAAGTAGTTTCACTGAAGCATTAAAGAAAATAAAGCTTTTACCCGCATCATTTCATTCTCTAGTTGTTTCTTACGATGCAACCGTTGCTGATGAGATTTGAGTATGTTTTCCACATGTTGCTCCATGAAGAATTTAAAGGCCTGAGGAGAATAGCTTTGAATGCGAGACTCCCTTCGCTCTTCATCTCTCTTATTTTTCCTGACAGGAACAGGAGAGGTTGTTATTTGTTTTTTTTCTTTATCTGTCCCATCACCACATTCATTATTCTTTTCAATCTCTTCTTCTTTAGTTAAACTAGGCTGATCTTCTTTGCTAGGTTTGGTTCCTGTCTCATATGGACTGATGGATGGATTCTGATGTAGCAAGTGTTTTGGGTAAGGAGGTGGAGGACCCTGGTAATTTGGAGCTTCTGCAACAGGCATAATTGCCACATTGTTAGATGGATTCTCAGAAAAGGAGACTGGTTGGACAGCTTGCATTGGCTGTGGCATCCAAGAAGGGTGAGTTGGTGCTAAGGCAGTCTGCACCTCTGGCTTTAATACTCGCATACTTTTTACTGGTTGCTGAATGGGAGCTGGAGTTATAGCTGTCACTGTGGTGGCTGAAGGCTGAGAACTGCTAGAGTGACTCTGTCTATTCCCATGAGCGTTATTGAAAGAATTTGATCTTACTGGAATATTGGGTTGCCATGTAGTAATTTCATGTCCACTGCCAGGTGGTGATTGGGGTGGAGCAGCAGAAGACTGTGACCAGGACATTGGCATGCCAGGTAGATTTATGTTATAAAGTTCCATGTTGTGGCTGTTTCTATTTGGCACCATCATGGACTGAGGAATGTTTCCATTAGTGTATCCTGAAGGGGGAATAGCTCCTCCTGCTTGCATCTGCAAAGCTGTAGGACTTTGCCTGTTAGTTGGGGATATAGGGTATGGAGGGGGTGGCTGACGATTGACCGAGTTCCCAGATACAACGTTTTGATGAACCATGAAATCAGCCTGACAGTTGCCATTTTGTATTCCAGCTCTTCCTGATGGAAAACTAAACTTGCTATTGGTAGAACTCTGCATGATTATTGGTTGCCTGCCAAGTGGAACAGAATTAATGCTTCTTTGTCCCTGTGTAGAAGAACTTATGGGTGATGGATTCATTGGTGGGGGAGGATAGCCATCCTGCCATGCTCCTGGTGGTACTGGAGAAATGCGAGAGATCATATATTCCATGCTTCCAGAATAACGTTTTGTTTGAGCATTTGGTTCCCAAGAAGGAGGTGGAGGCGTTGTTCCTCTTGGCGGAGGAGTCTGCCCTCTTGGAGGTGGAGGAGGGGGAGTAACACTTCTTACTTGTGGTGGAGGTGGTGGATTCACTCTTTGTCCATTGCCAGGATGAGCCTGAGAAAACGCTGCTAATCCAGAGCCAGATAAAGGCCTTCCTACATCTGACTGAGAACTAGGACTTTCTGAACGATAAACTACACTATCTCCCAATGGAGGGCCATGTCTCTGAGGTATCAAGGACTCTTTAGAACCTTTCCAGCTCTGTTTGCGGTTAACTGATTGCTGCACACCACCTGCTTTTATAAAAGGGAAAAAAACACAGCATTTTATATATGTGAAATACTATTTGCAGTTTGCAATATTTTACTACTACTCAAACTCAGTTCTTTTCATTTTTGGCAGTTACCTTACTGCTATGAAGTAGATAATACATTTTAATTTAAGCCATACTAAGTCACATAATGGTTTATTTGTGACTAATCAGAAAGGAAGCCACAGTACTATTTCTAGCATGGAAAAGTTGAACCGATGAAAAAATGTGTAGACCTACATTTTGCATAACATTGATATCATAAACATTACATCAAATCAATCTTATGTCTGATGTACAGTACTTGAGAAGTTCATATTCTTTGAGTGAATTAGTCAGCTGAAAGACTGCCAGTACAGGTTGAACCTCTCCAGTCTGGCACGCTTGAGACCTGGACTGGTGCTGAACCAGAAAATTTGCAGAACCACAGGAGGTTAATATTATTTATCAGCATTACCAACTCTTCCACTGCTTAATGGGTTCTTAAAAGACATTTAGAGGTAAATGAGAGCTGAACAACAGCACAGAACACTGAAAGCTAGAACAGGTGGCAGTAAGCAAACTTCACTGGACCACAGGACAGTTGGGCTACACCCATGATACTGGACATTTGGCCAACTAAAGTTATGCCAGACCATGGATGTTGCCAGACTAGAGCGCACTGGACTAGAGAGATTCAACCTGTACTTGTACACCTCTGAACAGGGACACTAAATTAAGAGATCATGCATTTAACACAGTTTAATCTAAGTGTATTATATTCCTTGTATGAAAAGTTCTGTTCATCGAAAGGTTCTATTTTAAATCCATTTCAAACATAGGGCTGTCAACCTTTCCACCTAGACAGACCAGACACATTCATGGCAATAGCATCCAGTCAGGAAAATAGGCAACCCTGAGATATTTATATGTTTGTAAGTGGAAGATAAGACTGCATAGATGCAAAACCTACAATTCTCTCTCCACTGAATTCTTAAAATTTAACTCCACTAAGAATTAAACAGTAATCTTTTATTGGAAGTACCAGAAAGTAATGAAAAGACAGAGGTAATAATTTATCATATTAACAGGGCATCTTTGTCTTTATTTTTGAAAATTGTTATGATTTTCCACTGCTGAAAAAAATCAACATTTTTTTCAACACGCAAAAACATGAGTAAATTGTGCTAAATTATGCAAGTAAGAATGAAATTCATGGCTAAATTCCAGCATTCCACTGAAAGTTTTGTACAAATTCTAGTTAATTCAATTTAACAGTCTGAAAGATAGTGGACTAAAAATGTAAAACCTGTTGTCATACTTTGCTGGTGTTTAAAACAAGCAGTCTGGTGGTACCTTAGAGACTAACAAATATATTAGATTGTGAGCTTCTGTGGTAAAACCCATTTCATCAGATGAGCGGGGAGTAGAAATTACAGAATTCAGAGTATAATACAGCAAAAGATGTAACTATCAATCGCAGGACCAGTGTTAATGAAGCTACTTAAGTCAGGCTGGATACGTCCCATTCACAGAATATGTTAGCATTGTTTACTATGTTATTTAGTTGTTTATTATGTTACATAGTTAACTGCAATTCCACAGAAATTAAGTGATATTACCCCCAAATTTAAGAAATGAAAGAAAATATTCAACACAGGAAATGAACACCAAAATTAGACATCTGAATACAATTACTTACGTATGACATTGAAATTAGGGATGTGAATGGATAACCAGTTAACATCACCCTTATCAGGTGATTTTTACCAGGTAATGGTTAATTGGCATCTGAGAGCAGCTTGCCATGAGGCAGAGGGCTGCTGCAGATCTGCCAGTCCCACACCCTGTGAGGAAACAGCACCTCGATGTGGCCTAGGTGCTGCTCCAGCCAGATTGGAGTGATCCCCTGCCCACGATCTCACTTAATCAATTAACTGGTTAAACCTCACGTTTAACCATTTAACTGATGAAATGGGATTTTAAAACATCCCTCGTTGAAAACATAACCTAAAAACTTGTTAGAAACTGATGTCAGGTACTGATATTTTAAAGTGGATTACTTTACAAATTATACTAACACATTTCACCATTTTTCTTGAAAATGGTGAAAATTCAATCACCTATATTGTTAAAGTTCATTTGCTGCTTCCTCACCATCTCCCAGTTGTGAGTGCATTAACTGAAAAGTTTAGCTAATTTATTATTTCTTTCTACAAGAAAAATACATATTGGACACACATACCTGGTGGTTTCATACCTGAATTAATAGGTCTGGCTGCTGCTGCAGCCATCTGCTCCCGACGAGCATCTTGGTAGCTCATTTTACTAATGAATTCAATTGCTGCTTCTATACTACGGCTGTTAGTTTGCCTAAGAGCTCGTACAACCATATCCTAAAAGGAAAATTAAATGTAAAAAATTTTATTTTCAAAATTAACAGAAGAAATGTTGTCAAAAGTACCAAGTGTTAGCTAAATCTCACTACAGCACTTGGAAAATGTTATCTACCTTTCATTAATTTTTTTTTAATAGAAAATGCATGGCTAAATTTCACTGACAGATTTGTAAAATCTCAGAGCATCTCCCTCTGTCAGAAAAACTGCAATTACATCTCTCACTACTAAAAAGCCCAGAAAAGCTTAATGTATTAAAGAGTCATTTTAGTGCATTTACTGCACTGTTTGAACCTCAGAAGTAGTGTTACAATTTTTTCCATGAAGGTTGCAACCAGTTTCCAATAAAAGGCTCTGTTTTTTGCTCCTATTGAAAGTTTTACAATTGCTAAAAATTGTACGGCTCAGAATCAACTGATTTATTGTGAAGGCAAAGGGGATAATGAATTACAAATCACAAAACAGTACTCTGATTTGCAATTCTGAATTTTGGGTTTTTAATATTACTTCAGTATGAAAGATAAATCTCCTTGTAAATTAAATCGATTTTATTGGAACAAAATAGGCGGACATCAAACAACATTAAGATCCTTTGGCAAGGTCTCTCACCAAAGGCTCTTAAGTAAATGGTCATGGGATAAAAGAGAAGGTTCTCTCACAGCTTGTAACTGGTTAAAAGACAGAAAACAAAGTTTCAGAGGGGTAGCTGAGTTAGTCTGTAACAGGAAAAACTTAAAAAACCAACAAATAGTCTAGCAGCACCTTAAAGACTAACAAAACATAAAGATGGTATCATGAACTTTCATGGGCACAACCCATTTCTTCTTCAGATGAACGTGCAACTAGACTATTTGTTGTCGTTTAAGTTTTTCCAGAAAACCAAGTGTAGAGTAGTGGTTCTCAACCTGTGGTCTGTGGACCCTTGGTGGTCCACAACAGAAATGCCAGGGGTCCATGGAAAGTTTAAAAATAAGTATTGGACCCACCATGGTGGACCCAATCCTTACTTTTCTTTTTCTCTCCCTGGGAGAGGGGTCTGTGAAATTTTAATAGAATGAAAAGGGGTCTGAGTCCGTATACTTGAAAAGATAGGGAACCACTGGTGTAGAGGACTGATGGTCAGTTTTCAGAGTGGAAGGAGTTAAATACTGATGGCTTCCAGGGACCTGTACTAAGTCCTGTGCTGTTTAACATTCATATATCATCTGGAAACGGGTAAACAGTGAGGTGGCAAAGTTTCCAGATGATAGAAAATTACTCAGGATAGTTAAGTCCAAAGCAGACTGCAAAGAGTTACAAAGGAATCTCACAAAACTAGGTGACTAGGCAACAAAATAGCAGATAATATTCAGAATTGATAAATGCAAAATAATACACATTGGAAAACAGAATCCCAATTAAATATATACATAAAATAATGGAATTGAAATTTGCTGTTACCACTCAAGAAAGATCTTGGAGTCATTGAGTATAGTTTTCTGAAAACATCTGCTCTAGATTCAGTAGCAGTCAAATAAAAAACATTAGGAACCATTAAAAAAGAGATAGACATCAAGACAAAAAAAATGCACTCATGGTATGCCAGAACTTGGAATGCTTGCATGCAATTCTGGTCGCCTCATCTGCATTAGTTGGAAAAGATACACTGAAGGGCAACAAACATTAATAAGGGTACATAAACTTCCATTTGAGGGAGAGATTAATAAGACTGGGACATTTCAGCTTGGAAAAGAGATGACTAAGGGGGGATATGATAGAGGTCTATAAAATCATGAATGGTATGGAGAAACTGGGAGTAATCTAGTGAAATTAACAGGCAGCAGTTTTAAAACCAAACAAGAAGGGAGTACTTCTATATACACAGCACAGTCTTATGAAACTCGTTGCCAGATGTTGCGTATGCCAAAACTAACAGGGTTCAAAAAAAAGCAAGTAAGCTAGCTCATGGAGGATAGGTCTATATGGCTATTGGCCAAGATGGTCAGGGATACGGCCCCATGATCTGGATGTCTCTAGATTCTGACTGCCAAAGGCTAGGAGTGGACCACAAGGAACGGATCACTGGATAATTTCTATTCTGCTTATTCCCTCTGAAACACCTGGCATTGACCACAGTCAGAGGACAGGTGATTGGCCTCAATCAGCAGTTCTCAAACTTAACTGTTCCAACATTCCCTTCTGAGAATGAAAATTACTACTCAACCCTTGGGAGGAAATTCAAGACTGAGCCTGTCTGAGCCACAATCCCAGCCAATGTATGTTGGCCAAAGATTAAGCCCAAGAGCTTCTTCCCTGGATGGGTGGAATGTAACATCAGCACTGGTTGTTGGGGCTTGAGCTTCAGCCCTAGAAGTGGGGATTGGGATTCAGGTTAGCTGGGGTCCAGGGCCAACACCAACCTTGGTGAGCCCATTATAATGGGAATGCAACCCACTTTGGGGTCCAGACCCATAGTTTAAGGACCCCTGAGCTAGATTGACAATTGGTCTGATCAAATATGGCCATTAGGTTCTTAATTACTTTTGCTGTGAACAGATTTGAGCCCTGTTCTCTTAGGGTGTGTCTATACTGCACCCTTATCTCAAAATAAGTTACGCAATTTGAGCTAGGCAAATTGTGTTACTTATTTTGAGTTACTTTCGAAATAGAGTGCTATTCCAAAACATTCCTTAATTCTTGTGGAACAAGGTTTACACAGATGTTGGAAGAGTGAGCCCATTATATTTTGAAATAACAGGTTTGCTCAAAAGATGCGGAAAAGCGATTTCAGGATACTTTCAGTATCCCAAAATAGCTCCGCTGCGTAGATGTAGCTTTACTGATACAAAGGGGATATATTTTGCCACTGACCACAGTGACAGTAGTATCAGGCACTAGAGTGGGATTTTTAAAGATAAAGTGTTAAACACTTAAGTCCCCACTGAATTTCAGTGGGATTTGGGTGCCTAAGTTTCCAACACACTTTCCCATACTAAATTGAAAACATGTTCAGCTGGTAGTGAAAGAGATGACAGGATCTCAGACCGATACCTACCATAACCTCATTCATGTATTTATCCTAAATAACTCTACTATGTTGTAGTAGTATTGTTCAAAACATCATTTTAGGACTCTGGTAACATAACGTCTCCATGTTTTCCTAGGAGACATTATACTGTTGAAGGTATTCTTCATTTTTGCAGTGTACTCTATTGTACTATCATGGTATATTCTATTTTATCTGATTTAGGATAATGCACATCATCTGAATATATCTAAGATTCAAGTGTTCAGTTATTAGGGATGTAATAGCATAACAATTTAAACGGTTAACAGATAAGCCTTGTCTCATCGGGTATCATTAACGGTTACATACAGCCTCCCAGTGAGCTGGCTGCCACCCTGTGCTTCTGGCTCTGTATCAGAGCCTCTAACGCAGGGTGGCAACTGGCTCCCTAAGAACAAGGCTGCAGGCAGGAGCCAGCTATTGACCCACGCTGCAGGGTCTGCAGTATGAAGCTTATACTGCAGAGCCTGTAGTACAGCCAGCTCTCCTACTGGGGATCCGGCTGTGCTGCAGGCTCTGCAGTATAAGCTTCATATTGCAGAGCCCGCAGCATGTAACTGCTGAGATTTTCATTGGTTAACTAACTGCTTTCAAGCATCCCTATCAGTTATGTATTAATATTCAGCTCAGATAATGAGCCATTTCTCTGAATAAATTTAAGTTACTATCAAGGGTTTTGAAAAAAAAAATAAGTATTTCAATTTTTCCAAACTCAGGGATGTAAATGACTAATCAAACTGTGACCGGCCAAAAGGAAGAATGGTAATGCTAAAATAACCCATGTTTCCCCCCCCACTATATCTCTTATAACGTATTCTTATAATAACCCATGTTTCTTTCTTATAATAACCCATTCTTATAGAAAGAATACGTTATAAGAGATATAGGGGGAAAACATGGGTTTATTTTAGCATTACCATTCTTCCTTTTGGCCAGGTCACAGTTAAAAATTAATTTATATTTCAACATTGTGACACTCATACTACTTATACTCTTTAATTACAAAAAGGTAACATACAACAAAAATATGTATGGTTAGTTAATATTCAACTAAAATATTTACCTCATCAAATCCAGCAGCTTGTAAGTCTTGCAGCATTTGTCGATTGATTTCTGACGTTCCCCTTGCTGAGGAGCTGGTTTCATTTGCAAAAGGCTGCAGAGAGTTTCGAATTTCTTGCAAAGCTTTATGGTATGTTACAAATTTGGGGGGATTACGGCCTTGTCTGGGATCTTCAGCTGACATTTTACCCATATTGTGCTCAGCCTTAGCAGCATCGGAGGGCTTAGGCAAATTCCTAAGGCTCTCCCGTATTTCTTGTAACATTTGCCGGCTGCTGCCAGTGTAGTTACTAGCAGGAAAAGTCTTAGGCCTCATTTGTCTATATCCTTCTGGCTTCTCACTTCTCTTCATGAAAACATGTATCTATGTAACCTCCACCAAGGATTCGGCCACAAAAATTTCAAGAAAGGCTGGTTGGTAGTTTTAGTATTCACTCTAAAGCAAGAGTGAAAACATTCACTGCTGTTGGTTCTCAAGAATTTCAGCACTGTTGGAACCACAAAGTCAGCCACTCTGTAACAAAAGAACATTCCAGTTACACATATTGTTAAGAGTAAAAAGTTTGCAATGCTCAGGGAATAAATATATAATTTCCTCCATATTTACTAAATTCATCATATGTAACATTTATGCTGTCTTTAAACAACCATTCTAAATTAAAAACTATTCTGGCCTGACAACATTTAATTAGTAAACAATGATTTAGTTGCCTCTCAAATGGAATTTCAATCCAATTTTGGGATCTTTAGACTTATCAAATGTAGAGAGTAAACTTGTCTTACAATTATTGATTGCAATAAACACTTCTGATTTTTTTTCAAGCAGGGAGAGTACAGCCATCAGTAAACTGAAAACAGAGTTATAGTATTCGAAAGACGCCTGAGTACCTGCTACAAAAATTAACTGCACGCTTGAGTTAGTTTAAACTATGGCTTAAATGTTTAAGTCCTGAAACTTGCTTGAATTTATTATTTTTCTCTTGACAGTAGCAGTCTTAACAGGTTGCTTTTCTATGCTACTCTTTGAAGCACATCATATTAGCACAACTGAAAGATAATCAAAGATCTACATATCAAAAAGAATGCAATCTCAAGGACAAAGAATGGAGAGTAAGAATCTGGACTCCTTGATCCTGTTTCCTTCTCACTGTGATACCTTGGGTCAAGTCATGTAGCTTGCCATCACATCAACACACTGGAGTTTGTTCCCCACCGTTCTTCCACCTTTCACTGCATTTTTAATGAAAACGAAGAACACTACAAAAAAAAGCCTTTTTATTATTACACACTGTAAATATCTGTTTCAAATGTACAAGCTAAACGTTATGACTGATATTAACTTTGCATGAAGTGGGTCTCAGATTAAAACAGAAAAACGTGTATTTAAAAACAAACAAACAAAAAAAAAACCACTTGTTCCTCTCTACTAAAATCATTGAATTTGGCTAAAACTGCAGTAAGTAACTTTTTGTTTTAATAGCGGGCTGCACCCAGTGCTCACTACACTCACCAACCACTCTTTCTCTAGTGGCTTTCACAGCCAGAGAGCACAAGAGTATGATGACATCATTCTGTTGCCCGTCAGGAAAAACTTTTCTCTATATTTAGAGAGACAGAGAAAATATATCTGAAATGACCAACTTTTTATTGGACCAGCTTCTATTGGTGAGTGAAACAAGCTTTCAAACATACACAGATCTCTTCTTCAGGTTTGGGACACACAGAGCTCTGTGTAAGATCGAAAGCTTGTCTCCCTCATCAACAGAATTTGGTCCAATAAAAAGGTATTACCTCGCCCACTTTGTTAGTATAATATCCTAGGACCCAACACAGCAACAATTCTGCAAACAATTTCAAATTGTCTGGCAAGAGGATGATACTGTAAAAACTTACTGTAAAATCACACAGTCTTTTGCATCTATCAGAAAAACTGAAAAGCATTTAAATTAGCAAAAGTGACCTTACTAAGGTAAAATGTTACAAAAGAAACATTTTCCTCAGTGTTTTGTTCAAAACGATAAAGCCACTACTTCTCATTAAATATTTTTCCAATACTAATTTTAACAATTGTTTGTATGTTGGTTTGAGTTAACGTGAAGAATTGTACTTCCTGCCAAAGCTCACCACTCAAGTTGTTTCTGATACCACCTTTCTTATACTCTTTATATTACACAAAATATGCCTGCGTATAAGAGAAAAATGTAAATAAGTCATTTTTAAAATACTAATTAATGTCTTACAAAACCAAGTAAAAATAGTCTGCTGTGTACAAGTCCAACATGATAAAAATAGGTATCTATCAAACTAATAAGTTGGGGGGAAGAAAGGATGGTGGCATTAATAAGGTTTTGAATTAAAAACAACCTATATACACAAACTTTAATGCTTATTTATTTATGCATATTTTATTATGTTAGTTGTAAATTTTAAGGTCAGCAGGACCATTAGGATCACTTTGTTATACAGGATGACAAACTGAGGCCAAAATCTCAACCAATAAATTCAATATCCAGTCTGTGATAGGGATATAAAAGGTTAAACAGTTACCCAGTAAGCATTAAACTTACCAGCATGCTTACCAGATAACTGGTGAGCTGGATCAGCCCCACTGCCTGTGACTGGCTGGCCATAAGACCCCAGCCACTGGAGCCCACCATCCCTCCACAGTTAAATTATATAATTTAACCAGTTAACTTTCTTACTGGGCATCCTTGCTCCATAACTTCTGTTAGAGCTACAGGATCTCCTTTTAGAAAGACAGAGTACTGATTTAACATTGCATGCAATGGAGAATCTACTACGTCCCTAAATTGTTCTGAGTATTATAATCTTCCTTTTGCTTCCTTTTCCTTTCGCTTCTTTAAAAACAAGTAGTCCTGTGACACCTTAGAGATTAATCAAAATATATAAAATCGTGAGCTTTTGTGGGTAAAACTGACATCAGGTAAGCTGGAGTGGAAACAACAGAAATCAAGACATATATGTAACAACAGAAGTCTGTCAACTGTAAGGACCTGTGTAAATGAGGCTATTTAAGTGGGCTGGATGTGGCCCATACAGATTTTTTAATGTGGAAATGTAGGAGAAATTAGCTTTGTAATGCACCACCCTGTTAATGTTTTTGTTCAAGACCAGCACAATGGTGTGAAATCTACAGATGAACTCCAGTTCTGCTGACTCTCTCTGTAATTGGTTAGTGCAACTCCATTGTAGAAGAATGGCTACTTTTAAATCCATGGCTCAATGACTAGGCAGGTTAAAATGTTATTCTACAGGTTTATGTGTGTTACCATTCCTGATATCTGATTTGTGTCTATTTATCCTTTGTTCTAGAGACTCTATAGTTTTTACAATATATATGGCAGAGGGATATTGCTGGCATATATCACAAAAGGATATGCAACTGTATGAGCCCCCGATAAGGGGGCTTATTTGGTTAGGTCCTGTATACTGTAGCTTAAAATAAATATGTGGAAAGAGTTGGCAACAGGGTTTGTTGTAGGGATCAGCTCCTGTGTAAGCCTGTCTGTGGTGTGACGTGGTTGGTGGAAAGGATTTAATAACATAAGAATGGCCATGCTGGGTCAGACCAAAGGTCCATTTAGTTCAGTATCCTATCTTCTGTCAGAGGCCAGTACTAGATGCCCCAGAGGGAGTGAACAGAACTGGTAATTATCAAGTGATCCCTCTCCTGTCAGCTGTTTCCAGTCTCTGACAGAGCACCATTCCTACCTCTCCTGGCTAATAAGCATGTGTACAGCGCCGGTGAATGGAGCAACCGGCTGAAATCTACTCGCCCCAGGCGAGTAGAAACAGCGGTTTGTCGAGCCCTGCTAATAAGTATTGATGGATCTAACCTCTATGAATTTATCTAGTTCTTTTTTGAACCCTGTTAAAGTCCTGGTCTTCACAGCATCTTCTGGCAAGGATTTCCACAGGTTGACTGTATGCTGCATGAAGAATGATTTGGGGGCTGAAGTGCATGAATTATGAGGAGAGGCTGAGTGAACTGAGTTTATTTAGTCTACACAAGAGAAGACTGAGGGTGTCTCTAGACTACATCCCTCTTTTGACAGAGGGATGTAAATTAGACACTTCGAAATAGCAAATGAAGCCGGGATTTGAATTTCCTGCACATCATTTGCATAATCACATCGTGGCGCTCTTTTGACAAAGCGCTATTTTGAAAGTGAAACCACAGTCTAGTCCTCAGGTTTATAGGATCTTTCGAAAAAAGCTTCTATTTTCTAAAAAAAAGGCATCTGGACTGCGGTTTCACTTTCAAAATAGCACTTTTTCAAAAGAGCGCCATAACACGATTATGCAAATAAAGTATGGGAAATTCAAATCCCAGCTTAATTTGCAATTTACGTGTCTAATTTATATCCCTCTGTCGAAAGAGGAATGTAGTCTAGACACACCCTGAGGAAGGATTTGATAGATTCCTTTAACTACCTGAAGGGAGGGTTCCAAAGCGAATGGAGAGAGACTACTGTCAGTAGTGACAGATGACAAAACAAGGAACAATGGTCTCAAGTTGCAGTGGGGGAGGTCTAGGTTGGATATTAGGAAAAACTATTTTACTAGGAGGATGGTGACGCACTGGAATGGGTTACCTAGAGAGGTGGTAGAATCACCACCTAGAGGTTTTTAAGTCCAGGGTTGACAAAGTCCTGGCTGGGATGATTTAGTTGGGGTTGCTCCTGCTTTGGGCAGGCAGCTGGACTCGGGAACCTCCTGAGGTCTCTTCTAACTCTGTGATTCTAAGAAACACTCCCTTTTGTTTTAAACCTGCTATCTCTTAATTTCATTTGTTGACCCCTGGTTCTTATGTTATGGGAACAAATACAATAAAATTAATGGAGATTGCGTATCTCCTAGAACAGAGCCAGGTCCAATCCCCTGCCTTCACAGCAGGACCAAGTACTATCCCTGACAGATTTTTTGCCCCAAATCCTTAAATGGCCTCCTCAAGGATTGAACTCACAATCCTAGGTTTAGCAGGCCAACACTCAAACCACTGAGCTATCCCTCCTACTCTCCTTATTCACTACCTATCTGAAATGATTTTATAGACCTCTATCATATTCCCCCTTAGTCTCCTCTTTTCTAAGATGAAAAATCCCCTTTTTTAAATCTCTCTTCACATAGCACCTGTTCCAAATCACTAATTATTTTCATTGCCCTTTTCTGAACCTTTCCAAATCCAAGATATCTTTCTTGAGATGAGGCAACCACATCTGTACACAGAGTTCAAGATGTGGGCATACCATGGATTTATAAAGAGGCAGTAAAATATTCTCTACCCTATTCTCTATCCCTTTTTTAATGATTCCTAACATTTTGTTTGTTTGTTTTCCACTGCTACTGCTGAATACTGAGTGGATGTTTTCAGAGAACTATCATAGTGACTCCAAGATCTCTCTCAAGTGATGATAGCTAAATTAGTCTCCATCATTTTTTATGTATAGTTTGGATTATTTTTTCAAAAGTGCATTACTTGCATTTATCAACATTAAAATTCATTTGCCATTTTGTTGCTCCATCACCTAGGTTGTATTTGCTTCAGGATGTATTCACTTGTATTTCGCCACACAGCCCACTACTTTTAGAAGTTCATAAGGAGTAATGAACAATAAAATGACTACACACACACCCACACACCCACCCACCCACCAATGTATTTCAGATTATAAAACCAATTATGAGTACGGCCATACCAAATTCATGGGTCAATTTCAGGATCATACAACTTTAAAAATCACGTGTCATGATTTCAGCTATTTAAATCTGAAATTTGATGGCACTGTATGTGTCCTTATCCAAGGAGGACATGTGGAGGAACTGCAAGACTATTGTCAACAGGGTAACAGTACTGCTCCCTCACTTCTTCACTGCTGCTGGGGACAGCACTACCTTCAGACCCAGGTGGCCAGGGAACAGCTGCTTCTGGCCAGAATTCCAGCTCTGAAGGCAGAGTCAGTACCAGCAGAAGCAAAAAAATTAGGATGGCATGTTATGGTACTGCCACTCTTACTTCTGTGCTCCTGCGGCCTTTAGAGCTGCATGCCTAGACAATTCTCTAGGCAGCTAGCAATGAAGGTAGTATAGAAGTAAGGGTGGCAATAAACACAACCCCCTCTAAAATAACCTTGCGATATTCCTGCAAATCGCTTTTGGGTCAGGATCTCCAATATGAAAAACTTTGGTTTCTACCATGAAATCTATATAGTATAGGGAAAACGCACACAAAAGATCAAATATCACAATCTGTGACATTTTTCATGGTGGTGAATTTGGTAGGGCCATAATTACGGAAGTAGGCATGTTTCCTCTCTCACTTCTGGTGTATGCTAGAAGTATGTATTAGAAGTTCCTAACACTTGCAAATCCTACTGCTGTGGATGCTTACCAACTTTTAAAACAGGCCAACTAGTTTTTAGTTCTGCAGTAGGTTTTTAACCATTGTTTTTACCCTCTTTGCACATAAAACCAAACATTTGCCTGCATTTTTCCTGCTAGTGGGAGCTACTGTAGTTTCCTGTCATTTCCATTCCACCCTCACTTCCAGATGTTCTTAAATTTCCACAGTTCTCATCATCTCTTAGATTAAGTTCTCCCAAGCCTGACCATTGCCAAAAGATTCAACCATTTTGAGGATAAGGAGAATGTGGGGGTGGGGAGAGGCAGAATAAATCGATTCAAAAAAGGTCATACTGTATAAATTTTAAAGACTAAGTTAACTCTAACATCACAGCCACTGTGGGTAAAATGAAGAAATATGGCATGGAAATAATGCTCAATGAGAGATGCCTTTGAATGTTACTGTAAAAGCTGATTTTGGTTTGATGAAATTTTGACTCATTAAGGGAACACATGACACTGTATACCCAGAGTAAGCTTTTAAACACACCTCAAAAGGTGTACACAGCTCAGGAAGACCATAGTTGTTAATTTATGTTGTAAAAAGTTTAAGATGGAACAAGAAAAAATTTAAAAGTATGCAGAAAAACAATGGACCCCTGCTTCACACAGAATGTATCTTATAAGATAAAAGTTGCGCAGTTCCTAAGACTCCCCCAGGAAAGGAACTCCTTCCTACCAACAACGTAAGGTGCAAGGAATAGAGTAGTTGTGATATCTTCCTTTTTTCTGTCTCTGAGTCCATCTGTTCAAAAACTCCTCCTAATTGGTAAGAGCTAGGACCACCAAATTTGGTATGCAGCTCACTCTTATCCTAACTTAAAGCAAGGTCAGGATTTGGTTGCGTCAAGAAAACAGAAGTGCTGGGAATGGGATTCTTTTCCATAACATGGAAAGGGAGGGGCATAATACTGAGAATAGCCACTAGGGGCAGCAAGTCTGCAGCGGAGAGCTGTACTTCAGAGACACTAAGGGCAGCTACAGCACAAAATGCTGGGCTCCGCCATCTTGCCTGCCTTCAAACCTACTGCCCCCCTTCCCTACCGCACAAATCTCACTCTCATCCCCCCAAACACACCTTCAGCCCTTCACTTCTATACCCCTCCCTGCCCCACCTGCCAACACACCACCAGGCCCCTGCCCTGCTGGGTAAGTCTTCTAGTTGAATATAAAAGTGGCCTAAAATGTTCCACCGTGACCACCCAAAAAAGTTTTTCTGCTTTTTTACCAGCTTAGAAATATTAATGTCAAATCTTCTTTGTCTAGTTTTGCCAGATTATTTCCTTGGAAGACCCAGACACTGGAAAGGATACTCTCTTATCCCTGATAAGGGACAAGATGTAGATAATAGCCTGGTCTTATCAGACATTTGAGTTAAACTTGTTTAAGTATTTTTAAACAGTCTACATAATTACTTTCTCTCAATCCATTTTCATTCTTATGTCTGTTCTCTCTAGTCTAAGACCTCTAGTTGTTCACATTTTTAATATATAATCCTTTTTCATGCAATGGTGTAGTGTGCTCTTATGTTTTTCAGTAAACATGGCAGAAATCTTCAGGTATATAATTCCAGGGAGTGTTGAGTATATATAATATATTACAAGATGCTACATGTCTGAATATAAATTGTTAAAAAAAAAATCCATCCCTGTAAAATATCTATTAGAAAAATAGTATAGGATTATCTCATTTAAATTGTAATGCATATAGAGATAAGGGTACCTAACTAGCTTCCCTTTGTAACCTTAACTCTTAATTTGGGAAATGTAAATCTTCACTGCAACTTTAACATTAAAAATACTTCAAAAATGCAAAAGTTTAATAAATAGTTTAAAATATGATAATGCAGCAAGTGTGCCATGAGTTATTAAAACAACTGTTTAAAATTATTCTTAAGCAAACAGATTTTTGTTCTTTAGTTTTATTACTTATTGCTTTTAATGTATGAAATGTGACTGCAGTGTTTGAATACACACACATCCCAAAGAAAAGTGAAGGCAAAGGTAACTTACTGCCAGTTCTAAGCTTGACTTGTTTTTTGCTTACCAACATAATGGAAAACAAGTTTTTCTGCATCCAAGTGATTACAGTAAAAGCTCTAAAGAATAATTGGCTACAAAAGTGAACATGTAGTTACATTTTAAGGTACTAAAAATAACTCACTATCATCCAGGAATAAGGTATTTGGGAGTGTAAACTTATCCAAGACCCTGAACAAA